ACATGGGGCTCCATCCCAGGACCCTGAGCAGAAGACAGACCCTTAACTGACTGAGCCACCCAGGTGCCCCAATACTGAGCATCTTTAATCTGCATATTGGTCATTTGTATTTCTTCTTCTGTGATTGGTTTATTTGTGTTATTTGCCCATTTCCTATTGACTTTTTAGATTTAGTGATTTATAAGCATTTTTCGAATGTTGGTGAAGTTAGTCTATTCTATGTGCTGCAGATATTTTTTCCCAGTTTGTATTTTTTTAGGTGTGTGTTTATTTAACCAAAGAAGTTTTAAATTTTAGATTTCTTTCTTTCTTAGAGAGAGAGAGAGCGAGCATGGGGGGAAGGGGCAGAGGGAGAGGGAAAGAGAGAATCCCAAGCAGACTCCCCACTGAGCATGGAGCCTGATGTGGGGCTCGACCCCACAACTCTGAGATTATGACCCTAGCCAAAACCAAGAGTCAGACACTCAACCAACTGAGGCACCCAGGTGCTCCAGGAAGTTTTAAATTTTAATATAATTGTATTTACCAGGGACACCTGGGTGGCTCAGTCAGTTAAGTGCCTTCAGCTCAGGTCATGATCCCAGGGTCCTGGGATCGAGTCCTACATGAGGCTCCTTGCTCAGTGGGGAGCCTGCTTCTCCCTTTGTCTGCTCCTCTCCCTGCTTGTGCACTCTCTCTCTCTCTCTCTCCCTCTGACGAATAAATAAATAAAATCTTTAAAAAATCTTTATTTATCAGTCTTCTCCCTTTTTGGCTCCCAGTTTTGTATTATGCTCTAGAACAGCCTTTTCCACTCAAAGATTTCAAAAACATGCACTCATGTTTTCTGCTAGTACAAATTCTGCTTCATTTTTTTACATTTAAATTCTTTGACACATCTTGAATTTATTTTGGTATAAAGAGTGACTTCTGGGGCACCTGGGTGGCTCAGTCGTTAAGCATCTGCCTTCTGCCCGGGTCCTGATCCCAGGGTCCTGGGATCGAGCCCTACATCGGGCTCCCTGCCCGGCGGGAAGCCTGCTTCTCCCTCTCCCACTCCCCCTGCTTGTGTTCCTGCTCTCACTGTATCTCTCTCTGTCAAATAAATAAATAAAATCTTAAAAAAAAATAATAGTGACTTCCACATCCAGCACCCTTTATTGAATAATCTATCTTTTCCCATGTCTTTGAGATGCCATCATATACCAAATTTCCACGTATATTTGAGGCTATTTGTAGGCGCTCTGTTCCTTACTCCTGAACTTCTTATTCTATACACTGTGCCAGTGTCAGTGTTTTGATACCACTGCTTCATACTGTGTTCTCTCTGGTAGAATAGGGAAAGCAAGTGTGTGTGTGTGTGTGCGAGAGAGAATCCTTATTCATCACTCATCTTTTTCAGTGTTTTGTATTTTCCTGGCTGTTTCCTCTAATCTTTCAGATGAACTTTGGTGTTATTGTTAGATGCATACACATACCGGAAACTCACTCTCTATGACAGTGTGGAGAAAAGGGTCAGCAGGGGCTGACCTTAAGATTGTTCCATGGAGTGGCACCTGGGTGGCTCAGTCATTAAGCGTCTGCCTTCGGCTCAG